GAAGGCGCACTCCTGCTAGTTGTTTGCGTCTCATTGAGGATTTTAGTGTGGCTTGAAATATTGATAATAATCGGTGTGTTTTAACGTATAAAATTGCAATACATCCTGTGTATGCTATCCCGTTGATTTGTTGCAATATACATAATATTTCAGTGGGAACACTGAAATAAGTTAAACACCCAAGATAACAAAGAAGAAGGAAAAACAACATAAGAAAACTCAGCTCTCTATTTGAGGCTTTAACTATAGCCGTATCAAAACACCTTATATAGAATATCCCTGTAATTATTGTCATGGTTACGCCTATGAACGCGAAAACAATAATGACAACGCCAGCCGGTTCTAGAAATCCAAGATAATCTAAAACCTTTTTTTCACATGCAGTGTGGTCGTCCGTGGACCAGAATCCCTTGGGACAAGTAATGCATTTCGTCACTCCTGCAAACAATAAAAGAGGTTATTGTAATTAGTATCTGTGTATCTCAAATAACATTTAAATATTGTTTCTTAGTCCGAAAATGGGACTTATAATTCGGTCTCCGTGCGTCCGTCTGTGCGTCCGTCCAGAGTCATATTTCAGAATCCGTCTGTCCGATTCCGTTCATTCTTTGCATGTGTCTAGTACTTTATGTGAGACATATGCACATACAGTGGTTTAGCAATTCGATCCAAAATGGCCGACTGGCAGCCATCTTGTTTTTTGAAAATGTCATATTTTAGACATGCTTTTTTCAGTTTTCATTCAAATTTGTCTCCGCTTGTCTGTGTATGCGTCAATCCGTCCGTCCGTGCGTCCGTCCAACCGTCCGAGGTCATATTTCAGAATCCTTTGGACTGATTCCGTTCATTCTTTGCATGTGCCTAGTACTTTATGTGGGACATATATACATGCAGTGGTTTAGCGATTCGATTCAAAATGGCCGACTGGCAGCCATCGTGGTTTTTGAAAATGCTGTATTTTGGACATGCTTTGCCAATTTTCATTATATATATATATACATAACGGGATACATGTCCATGACAATTTGTTTCAAAATCGGATCAAGGATGGACTCAGTTTTTGGCCTTACTACTATATTTCCAAGATTTATGTACCATTTTCATTTGTATTTGGCACATGCATCATACATGTCACTTTGTTTCATAATCATATCAAAGATGGCTGAATAAGGGCTGTTTTCATTTTGGCTATATTACTATATCTTTGTCACCCATGTTTCATTTTCATTGATACTTAGCATGTCATAAATGAATACATGTACATGTCAATTCAATTTGCAATTTGATCAAATATGGCCAACTGGCGGCCATCTTGTTTGTTTAAAATGTGATCACTTGCACATGCTTTCACTTGTGATCTATGTTTATCTTTTCCATGTCTTAAACCAGAGTGTTCAAATTTGATGTAAATAAACAATCTGTTGTATACGCCACTTTGGACCCAAGTTTCAAGGCCACGCTTGCGACAACCACTCCACTTTAATATGACAAGCACAAAGTAAACTTTCAAAAATTTAACGGGGACATTTTTCAATGACTTGTTTTTTTCATTTTCGAGCGCAGTTCAAAACATCAGTTTATTACAAACATAGCGACTATATAATTTGGTATGAATGTATTAATATTTTACTTATGAGGAAAATGTATCAATGTGGTTTTCTGAATGCATTATTGCCGACTACGTGTAGTATCTTTTGACCCCTATCTAAATTTGCTTTAATTAGATACGGCGTGCGCATTAATGATATGTATACGATGGTTTAATGAATTATCTACGTTATTTCCCGAAAATCGATTTATTGATTTATATGAATTCCTAATAAATTACATTCAATAAGTTATTGCGATGTACTCAATTTTTTGTATTTCAGTTGTGTCTACTAAATAATACATATGATCTGAAATGTACAACCAATCGTGGTAAATTAATTATTCAAACTATACACTTGTTGAAAACATTTCTACATGAGCAATTTTGTTTGATATTGATATCTGAATTTTTATGACAAGAAAGATGAATAATACGGAAAGCGTGAAACTTATATGTAGTACATAATTTATGGAATCATTGTATTTATGAATTACGTGTAACAACTTGTTTCCCACTGCAGATGTCATCAATTGCTTATGGTATATCTATATGTGCATGTAAAACAATATTATTTCACTTGACACCAAACATACACAAGAAAAGTGTGTAAAAACAATCTACTACAGTCTACTACATTCCACAATCAAGACGTCTGAAGATGACGCAAACAAATTAGGTAAATGATCAGATTGGCGGCCATATTGGCAGTACAAACAACACTGACGACATTAGCTTATTCTATGACTTTACATTTAACGAAGTAATATGTTTCAATAATTTTAATATTTATTTTTTAAATTTGGACCGGAAGTCTTCCCAAGTTAATTTCAACGGTAAGTACACTAATTCACTTTTTGTTAATCTGGAAATGACACTGGAGTAACAATCTGAAACTATTATAGCATCAGTTGCTGGTAATACAAATTCGAACCTTTAACAAGTACGACAAGATAAACACGGATCACTGTTGTTCAAGTCATGTAGAACACATTGAAACTATGGCATTATATTTTATTGATATCATACACAACACAGCTGATTCGCGTCGATTTTCTTTCCTATATTGTATGGATGTAATGAAACAAACCTGTTGCATTAGCTATTTCGCCATCGGCACATGGTACGCACTCAAAGCAGCAGTGTGGTTGGCCATCAAGTATAGCTTTTCTAGTTCCCAGTGGACACGGGTGTGAGCACACCGATTCAGGGGCCTGAGTACGAACAAATAAAAATATTTTTGGAAATAAAATCTATTTGCATTGAACGTGGCGGGTCGGGGAAAGGTCGCTGATATGGGGTGGTGATGGGGGGGGCACTTAATTTACAGGCGGGTAGAAGGTGCCACCGAACCCCCGATAGTGTTACAATATTTAAATATTGTATGCTGCATATTTCATACTCATTATTAAATCCAAATGATCTATTGGCGGCTCGTTAATTTGGTTTGCTCATAAATTCTCTCACGATTTATATGTAAACCGCATGACCCCAAAAAACAAAAGAAGAATATCTGGAACACAGTGAGATTCATGAGTATTCACTAGTTGATCAGCTCTCCAGAATGATAAATGTTCCCATAGAAATTCAATTCTAACTTCGCTCATGCACACGTGCACTGTAGTCAGTGAATGCCCTTGAGGGTGTGAAGCTTTTGCTCGAAATATATATCTAAAAATATATAAATTTCGATACTACTCACTGTTTTTTAGCATCATAAATTAATGATCGCGTATTGGGTCATTAAGCTAAGTATTATTATGTGTGCTAATCTGAAACTATGATAAATTCAGTCTCTTGAGTATAAGAAATCCTTTCAAATAATAACAAAACTTAATTGGATACGAGAGTCTCATGTGAGGTAATTTACAAGAAACGGATATCACAAAGTGTACCTTAATGTCTCCACTGTTCCATTTAATGAGCTCATCATCAAGTTGTAACTTTTGACCGTCGCTGGCACCGCCATCGAATATACCAATTGGAACGAGTCGGATCGATTCGTCGGGTGTTATCTGCCAGTTATTTATTTCATATCTACCCTGCCCTTGCTCATTGTCGTCAAAATTGTAATGGACGCCGTCTGTACCTGTGAAATTAACTTCTCTGATGTATCTCAGTAGTTGCCATGGTTCTAGCAAGGTAATGTTTGGACATCCGCCATCTTGCAACAATCCACTTTGGGGTTCGCACGTTGCAATATTGTGGAGCGCCTGAGCAATGGCACGCACTGCTAAGTAAACATTGTAGGTGATTCTGTAGTGGGATTGTTTAAAAGCTCTCGTCTCCTCGAACATCATATTGGTGGTGCAATTCGGCGATGGTGCTGCTTCAATGTCATAGACACGTGCATTAGGCATCTTACACTGAAATGTGTGCTCCCATAGCTCAGTCAAAAAGGTGTTTTGTTGATTTTCGTTGAATGGCGTGACAGTTTTCAAATAGTCGGCAAAGTGCGGTATATTACCCTGGGATAACACCACACCAATGGATCCATCTGATATCGTGTGAAGATCTTTGCTGATGTCTGGGTTATCTGACCACGTTTCACAGGCAATCCATATACGATCTAATGATACAAATGATGAACAGTAATTAAATTTTGAAGTGATGTCATAATTATATGATCTCATTACTACCATGCATCACAGAATCATTGAATGCATTGTCTATCCCCAAAATCTTTTCAAAACGCTTGAAATCACCGCTTGGTTATAATTCTTAGACACATATATAATTCTTTTACTGATTTGTGCATGATGTGTAATATGTGTTTCCTTGTTTAATAGAAACGTGTTAAGAAACCAGAAATAACAGTTTACTAATCTGGGAGAGTCAATTGACAAACACTCACAAAATATGGATAACTAACTATATATACTCAGGATCATTCATTTTTATTAAAACACATCGTAGTAATTGACAGTAAAGTGTTTAAGAAAATTTTCGATGATAATTAAGCATTAAGGGTGTTTCTACGGGATTGAATATATGTATCATATATATCATATAAGAGTATTAATTGATTGGACAATTATGCAATAATGCAACAAACATTATGCAAGCAGTACTAACACAATTGGGTGATAAGAAATTAAACTATTGTGTAGCACTCGAACAGAGGACTATGTGCTATACACGCCATTGGCCTTACTAGAAAATCACCGAAAGTGACGTAATTCAACGCATTATGAGATGGTTATAAAAATTATCTTCAGGAAATAGTTTGATGTTTAGCATTATTGATATTCACCAGTTGCAACATATCAGTACTATCTCAAGCACCAGGTTGTGGAAGAATTAATTGTATGTACCCGTATATCGTCCCAACAACCTATTAGTACAACTGTAAATCGAGACAAGTGAATTTTGATACTCCGCATTTGGTGATCGACGGTGGTAGTTCCACTCACATCTTTTCTTACATGTGATTTAAAAATAATTTCACCGAAAACTGTTTGAAATACTTTTTTTCAACCCAAAACACTAACAACAACGTTTCACAGAGAGCTAATGTATAATACACATTTGTGTTCGGGAGAGTACTAAAACACTTTTCTTCCAAATTATATTCTTGAAGCACTTCCTTAAACAAACAAACGCACATGCAATGATGTAAAACATCCAACGTAAAACACTGAATGCGTGAAGTGATTTTAAAGTCGGATACAATGTGTCATATTTTAAAATACTTAGATTTACTGTGTATAACATGTATTATGTTGACAGATGTCTTGTAGCACGTAAATCTGTGACAATGTCATTAAAAGCAAAAAATACGACTACAAAATAATATTCGTAATTTACACATTAAATGTTCACAGGTGAATTAGCCTGGTGAGCTATTGTACGGCGATATTTTCATATCGCTTTATAGATGCTTATGTGTTACCTGTAGTGGGACCTGTGGCATACGCATAGACGCACGCCATCGGAAGAGGGCGAATCTATGCATTGAAGAATGACTACCTGTCAGTAATTATTTGTTCTACAATTCTCGGATAGTCATATCAGAATAGTAAGGTTCAAGCACCAATATGTCAATCTCTCAAGTGAGGAAAAAGTTTGCCATCGTTATTATAGGAACAATAAGTAAAGTTCGTAGATAGCTAGTATTGTATGCGACGTGTATCCATATCTGTCTAGCTTCAAGGTAATTTACTCAGGACCAAGACCAGTCTATCTATTTGTGTTTAAGAGAGTACCTTAATTTTCTACAGTCATAACCATTCCCAACATATTCATTGTGGCTCTTATAATATTCTAAGGCCCCTACGTCTTTTACAAGTACCAAGATGTCAATCTCTCAAATTTGCTATTTATTTTTTGAAAACAGTACATATTTACCATCAGAACCATTTCTGGCACGTCCACTGTGGCTCTTATTGTAGCGAACAGCAAACATATCTACCCTTCTTTTATATACAACAATGTTTGCGTGATTAGTCTTGCTAGTCACTTGTTTTTTTATTTTCGCGAACGTACATGTATGAGAGACGGTCCTAAATAAAGTAGTTGCATCCGTCTTGATAATATAATTGTGTTCAATCAAAACCTGTGCATAAACAGTCCAGATGGTTAATTGTTCTCATGTGCACTGAATACCACTTAGTTAATTTAACCCTTATCTGTCCAAGTCATTGTAAAAGTACATGGAGCTGACAGGGTAAGAGTCAATGTCGTAAAACATAGGGGCTACTATAAAACGAAAAAAAATATACTCGAGCACAGATACTGATCATAAAACTTTAACAGATCTAGCTTTTGACACTAATTCATTGTAAACAAGTTAACGGTCGATGATATGACAATTTAATTTCGTTTTTCGTTCATCTAAACTCATTTTCTATCACAAAATATTATTTCTCTCATGATAACAAAAAATGGAAGGTTTGCAAACATATGTTTCTCAAATTCTTATCACTTCGTAACGAGATCTATTATTTTCGCTGATGCAACGATTATGTCTATTTAACTCGGAATAAATGCCCAATTAAGTTGTTGACGTATATTTTTTAAAACGTGTTTAATTATATGCAGGCTATTTGCCTCATTAAACAAATAGTATAGCTCTGCCGCAATCAGATGTACATTCACATCGATACAATCGAGTTTTATAGCCGCATACCCCAATGCAATTGTCCTTTAACTACTTTGTATCTGATTCTGCGAAGGACGGCCTCGTTAGGATTTGATCGTAGATTCCTAGGGGTATTGGGTAGTATATATTGTCACGCTGTTTCGTCATACACCATATTGTTCAGCTGTATTGTCTGAATGGGTAAGCCGTTCACGTAATTTGATAAGTGTAAAGCACACACAGCAGGGGATTGAGGTGTCTCCATTGACATAATCATATGATTATAATGTTGAGCGAGTATGATATGGCATGGTATAGATCCTAAATACGACTGTTGAATCGTCACGACATTTATACATTCATACGCATTATTAATTAATCATATAAATTAATTTTTACCTGGTCTATTTTCTATTCTCCTATAGTAATGATACAGCAATACAATTATAATATTATTTCCCATAGGTGTATATAACATGTAGGTATATAAAATTCATGACTCAAATACGCCCACCATTTCTTAGAAACATACCTGATCGCTCTTAAACCTTATCCGTTGTTCATTCACCACGGTATGGTGATATGAAAAATACGTATACTTCACATTACATAGTTTCTTACCAAATGTAACTGTATCACATATTTGAAAATAGTTTTAATAACCTTTGCTCTTATCGTGCAAATTTTTGGAATGACTGGAAGCAAAATGACACCACGTTACTGGCGCACATAAAATACCTATATTCCCATTAATAGAACGCCGCGTTCTCTTTGAACGATATGTACCACATGCATATTAGATCATAACTAGTCAATTATGGAACATGCGTGTGACTGGGTAATATTTTTTTATCATATTTGTACTGGTCGATTTAAACAAAAACTCTAATTCATTTACGTCAAAATAATTGTCGTTATTTTATCGGGTAATCAACAAGTTTATTACATTGAAAAAAAATGTTCATTTTAAATTATAATCAGGCATTACATCTACATATCAACTACAAAGCCAGTTATGCAAGCTCTATGGCACTGAACACAAAATATATTCATCGCGAAGTGTTGAAGTTATAAGTCTTGTAGCGTATAATTTCATTTGCTTGTTACTAAATTATTTGTCTTATATAGAGACGCCTTGCCAAGCTTTTGTAGTTTTCATATATTCTATAATCATGTTGATAGTGTTATTACTTTTACATTGTATTGGTTAGAGTCAATATCGACAATTGCGTAGAAAGAATCATAAACACTACCATGTAAACCAATACACATGTGGTTACCTATTATAAATCGAATGATCATACTCACAGTCTTATACGTTATGACCAAATATGGTTTCAAAAATTATATAATTTGTGGAGATTGATTATTTAGTTCTAAGAACAAAATGTAGATATGTGCGCGAAGGCATATGCATCATGACCCAATAGAGATTGATTTTCCTCATTATTTTCGTTCTAAGATTACCACGAAGATACGTCAATAAGTGCACGAAGGCAAAAGTTCTAAGAATCGTAGCAGAGGTCGATGTAATTGCAATACACTTCAAGTTCTCAGTATTAGCGTGATAGAATTACTATTATTATGCATATGTCACCGTAACGCCATAAGTTACAGCGTGCCGTAGTTTTGTTTCATTTTAAGGGGTATTTTCATCTTACCATATAAGGAAATGCGAATTTCAAACATGGAATGATTACGCGCGTAAGCGTCCTTCGATAAGAAAAAAACAAACATGGCTGTCACCGTGGTTTGAACCAACTCCACACAAAGAAGTTCGCTGATTCTGTTCTAAACATTTTCGGCATTCCCATGATGTATATCCTTGGAAGGAAAAGATCTATAATAATAAGGTAGATAACTCAAAGTATGCACTCAGACAGTACACCGATGCGCGTCGGTCAAAATGAATCACCATGAATAATGTTCATAGACGTGCAATCTCGATTCAGTTAGATATTAAAGTTAGTTTATTCACGGGGGTTATTTAGTTTTGAAACAGGATCACAGGTCTCCTAGTACAGATATAAAACCTTACTTCAGCCAATCAGATGCCT